AAGAAGAAGAAGAAGAAGAAGAAGAAGAAGAAGAAGAAGAAGAACGAGGAGGAGGAGGAGAAGGAGAAGGAGAAGGAGAAGAAGAAGAAGAAGAAGAAGAAGAAGAAGAAGAAGAAGAAGAAGAAGAAGAAGAAGGAGAAGAAGAAAGAAGAAGGAGGAGGAGGAGGAAGAGGAAGAGGAGGAGGAAAGAAGAGAATGGGGAAAGTAAATGGGATTTTTATATGGGGCCTACATTTTAAGAAATAATGTTTCAGACCATCACACATACATCTGTAATCTATAGATCTATCTATCTATCTGTTCTATTCATTAACTACCTCTAATCATCTTGCCTATGAAACCAAGTCTTGATAAAGAAAAGCCATTAAACTTGTCTAACATCTGAAAAGACAAAGATAGAGGAAAAAAACCATCTTTTACATGTCCAAGTTGTACAGACTGTACCCTGCAGTAGGACACCTATGCCAAGAGCCTTTCAACGTGAGTTAACATGTGGTTGCTAGAACATTACAGAGATTTTACCAGTTGTAACAATGTGGAAAGTTGTGAAAAGAAAAAGAATCTGTTAAGTAGACAGTAGACTGGTGCTGAAGACTAAGATGTCATAATCTGCTAAAAGGAAAAAGTATTTATTAGAAAATTTTATAAATTCATGTCTTCCCATTCAGTAGAAGTATGTTTTACACTAGTTGATGTCATTTGGTGATGTCTTTGAAACTGAAATTCACTTTTATAACATGTAGATCTTTAAAAAATACCTATATTCAGATCTAACCCTTGGAAATTCTAATGAGAAAACCTATGACATCTGGAAATTTGTATTTTTAAAAAATCTCTTAAAATAATTTGCTTTTGTGCTACCAGTGTAGAGCCTTTTATAAATGGCTTTTTATTTTTTGTGTTTTTTAGCTTTCCATTTTATTTTCAAGGTAGAAACTGATTCACCAGTATTTAATGAAATTCATAGTATTTTACAATTCATAAAAATGAAAATATTAAATTTTATTTTACAGATAAATTTAAATAGAGTTGAAAGAATATCCAATGTTACATTTGGGCTTGGAGGTGATCCGCATGGTAGTTAGGTCTTTCTAATTTCACATCATATCTCATATTAAACTGAGCCAAAATTGGTGTCATAGTAGAAACTCAATGTGTATGACTAGATTACCTGGATTATTTCCTCAACAAACACACAAAAGATGTTAAACATCCATTTGGTGGCATCTAGTTACTAATCCTCCATTCGAGTCATTTGTGGGTGGAAGCTTACTATTTACCCATCATATGATTTGAGGTCACAAAATCACATGTGCAGTTTTGTTTTTATTTTCTTCTAATTCTAAAGCTATAGTATTTATATTGAAAGTTTATCTACAGCCTGTTGAAATGAGCAATATTACTTGAATATTTAAGTCATTTTATCTATAGAACACACTTCCAGAGGGAAAATGTGTGTTTGTGTGTGTGAGAGAGACAGAGAAGAGACAGAGACAGAGAGAAAGATAGAGAGATAGAGAGATAGAGAGAGACAGAGAGAGAGAGAGAGAAACAGAGACACAGAGATTGAGATTCTTTCCACATTTTAGGATGGTTCTGAGGAATTCTTCCTGGATGCAAGTCATGGCTTCTTGATATTGCATTAGAGTCTTGGACTGAGTTTTGCATCAATGGAATCACATTGTACAACCCTTTTCTGAACCTAGAGCACAGTTATCTCTATTCTGCCTATGATATTCTCAGTGATTTAACTGACTCCTCTTGGCAAAGGGACACTGCAAGTTTCAGTATTATTAACTGTTGTTATTCTGCAGTTGTTTTGTTACAAAATTTTGTTTTATTTTTCATAGAAGAGTGTTTTTAATATTTTCTTTATTACTATCTACACATATTACAGGATAAAAAGAAAGTGGCAAAGATTTTATTGTTAGTTTTACATTCTGTGTATCAGTAGTGTTTCAAGTCTTTCACTAATATCTGTCTCTTGGCTTCTGCTTTGTGTCCACTTCCCTAAGACCTTATACTCTAATCATTAGACTTTCAAATTCCTTTATTACTCAGAAGTAATAATTTACCAGTGGCAACTGAAAATATGAGTGCTAATTTATATTCCTAAGAATGATCTAAAACTCCAAGAGTTCTCCAAGGCCAACTTTGATAGAAAACTTATTTCATGAGATACTATTAAGTATTTCCCAAATGTTCTGTAATGGCTACTTTAAAGGCATCTAAAATCTGTCCACTATCACAAGGTTGGTTCATAAACATTCTTCTTATGTGACCAATGTATTCGATGGCACTATCTAATAAAGGTGTTTACCATAGGATTATACCAATTAGGAATGCAAAGATGGAAGAACTACAGTGACTATAACAAATATAGAGGATCATGTACTGCATTTTCATTGTTCCTGCATATAAGAAATGATCAAATGATTTTTGTCCCTCCTTTTTTGACCTTTGTTTGCATTTTCTTCCCTTCTTTTATAGCTTTGTTCTCACTGTTTTTACTTCTTGGGACCACAGGATTCTCTTCTATTTCTGTAGTTTTTATTGAAGTCAGCTTGCAAGTGGATGGGTGAGCAATTTTTCAGCAGAGAGACCCAGAAAGGATCTCTTGTAGGGTAGAAAAATATCAGCCATAAGGTACCATTCTTCTCAAGATTTACACTGGCCATCATCCAGGTGAAAAATAAAAAAGAAAAAAATACAAGAAAACTACCTCTCTCAAAAAAAACTTTCCACAATAATGGATGCATAAGGAAGATGATCAATGCCTTACAAATCAAAGTTTTTCCTTACTAAGCAAAGATAGGTGTGGACAACATCAGAATAAATGGATGGCACTGACTTTTAATAAATCTCCAAGATGTAATCCTTTTCTTAGCCAATGAAAATATTTTCTTGGTCTTTTGTCAATAACTTCAGACATAGGAAGCAAAGCAGAAATTGGGAGGGCTTCACACCATTATAAGTATGATATTTGCTTTTCCACAAATCTCACTCAGCTAATGGGTGGATTTTCTCAGAGTTTTCCAAGGTGTTTTGTTCAGGGGACATACACAACCTACAGCTCTCTGATGGCATATGTGCAAAGTAAATCATAGGCTAAAACCAATCAACCAACCAACTAACAAATCAACCAACCAACCAATCAAAGAACTATCCAGCCTACCAATGAATCTATCTATCTATCTATCTATCTATCTATCTATCTATCTATCTTTAGTAGAGCATAATTACCTTTCAGTCATTTATACAAAGTACAAACTTTTATCCTATCAGTATCTTGTGACATTAAAAATCTTCTAAAGTGAGCTTATTTGAGGCTTTAACTGAAGCTATCATTTTAAGTACAGTCTAATATGTTTTTAAAGTCATTTATATGAAAAAAACCACCAGGAAAGAGGCAAAAACAATTAATATCTAATATATTGTTAGGCTTGTGACAGGTCACTATAACTGCATGCATAATTG